GGATTGATGACTGGTTGGCTGACGAGCTACAAGAATTTATGGTGGATATGGATGGCCAAAAGCCTGGATTATTATTTAGGATGAAAAGAAGCATGAATGAATGTATGCAAGGCATGATGGATAAATGGAAGGCAGGATGAATGAACGGCTTGATTGATGAAAGGCTTGATGAATGTATGAATGGTTTCTTGAGTGTATGCATGGGAGTAATAAGATGGGCTAGATCGGCGGAGGGATTGCTGGGTGCATAGACGGCAGGATAGATGGACGAATAGATGGCTAGATAGCTGGTTGAATGGGTGTTTCGTTCGAGTGATGAATTGCTTAGAGTAGTGGGTTAATTGATAATTGGCTGCTTTGATGGATGGATACTTGTACTCGAATGATTGGTTTAATGACTGACTGGATAAATAGAAGTCGGGATGGAATAATTGATGGCTGATGAACGGATCATCTTGATGAGTGCCCTGATGAATGAATGGTTGGACAGATGGATGGCTGGTTGGAGGGATGACTAGATAGATGGATGGTTTGATGGATGGATGCTTAGAGGATTGAGCCAATTGAAAACAGACTGGCCTGATGGTTAATCGCTTGATGAATATAGATTTTTTGATGGATATGTGGTTTGATGAATGAACTGCTATTTGGGAGGGTAGCTATATCGAGGGATGGTTAGTTAGATGTATGATTGGCCGATTGGATCTCAGAATATTGAAAAAATCTGAGCAGTCAGACTTAGAGGCAATATATGCAATCCACGAGTAAGTTCATATTACACCGCCATCAATTAGAAAGTTTCAACAGGTGAAAAAAACTGATAAAATCAGAGCTTTAAAAATTTCTAAATATAGAAAAAACAATGTCTTGAAAATTGAAAAGAAGTAACCCTCATTGAATGTAGGACGTTTCTGCAACTTCGTCATTATCGCATGTTGGCCATATCTATAAGGTCTGCCATATCATGTAGGCCGTATCTGTATCTTTAGGCCATATCTGTAACATATCTGATTCTTGACGTTTCTCTGACATCACAGCACCAAATTGTTGACAATTTCAAATTTCGACAATTTTTTTTAGTCTTCGAAAAATTTAGGTATATAATTTTGAATAAAACCTCTGAAATAACTTTTTCACCCTCTGAAACGCTGAAACGAAAAACTCTCGTTATTTTATGTGAAGATGGATGAAGCCAACTTTTTCATTAGACTACACTGCAATGCCATCCTTTTCCACTCCTAGGCTGGCATCATAGCTACAGCCATAGAATCGAGCTTTTCATTAAGCCTAACAATTAAAAGCTGTAAAATCGAAAAAAAACCTGAGAAGCATTGCAATTTACGACATAGCTTACACGAGTAAAAACACTTCTGTAAAGCGTGCACAGTTCAAAAAAAGCTGTCACACACATTCAAGTATGGTCGATTCGCGTCATCTCAATTTTTGCAATAAACTAATCCGAAAAACAAATAACTACATCCTACATAAAAGTCTAAGTATTTCGCGATAGCTGGAAATCGACTCTTTCAAATAAAAGTTGAATTTAAGATGATTTTGTTACTAAAAAGTGCGAGTAAGTGAAATGAATAAAAAATGCGAATTGTAACATGCGTTTATAACTTAGATTCCTTGTTAACACAATACCTTATCATTTGAAACATGCTTTGTTTGCTCCAACATTGCGCCTCCGTTGATCTTTGATCAACCATACATTTTTTGTTTTTTATCTTTTATCGTCTTTCATTGGCAATTTCCGTAATTTTGAAATCGGTAGTTTACTAAGCTTCTAATTCCGTTTATACTTGCACTGCTCCAACAGACTATCGTTTCCGGTATACACACTTCCACGAACGATTCTAAGAGGCCATTATAAAGGGGTTATATCATCACCAATTTTGAATACTCAATCTCCTTTTTTCAAATTCTTTTCTATCTACAAGGTTGTTATTACGGTGTTGCATAACGCAGAATTATTCAGAATTTGATTTTTTTCTCTCAAATCTGCAATCAATTTATGCAAGTATTCGATTTTTTTTCCGGGGCAGTTTTCATCTATATTAAGCTCATCAAAGGTAGGATAAAACACAATGGTCTATTCGATTGACTCAAAAGCATCAGCAGCATTGATGAAGTGAGCGGCAAAGTGTCTTTAGCCTAATCCGAAATCATTGTGATCAGTCTTGATTTGAGTATAGCTTCTACCTGACAAAGCACTGTGCAACTCATTCTGGTCTCAACTGTGCATCTCATCTGGTCTTCTGTTGCCGTTTGGCTTGGGATATAGCAATTTCATTGTTTGAACAGCAGCTTCCTTCAGAACTCCCAAACTTGAAACCCTTGCAAGTATAGTTGTCCAATGAATACCTGAATCTCGGACATGATCAGGATGTCTGTCTGTCTGTTGGTTTTCTTGTAAAAGTCTCCTCACTTAAAGAAGCTCAATTGGTGATTCGACGAAGTTGAACGCACTATCTGTGAAAGTCTGCTAGGAGCATCCTCGCCAAGAATGGAACCCTCTGATAACCTTCAAAAATGCTTATGTCTCCTAGGTTTTTTAAAGAAGAAACTTAAAAATTCGCTTTAGTAGAAAAGCAATTGAAAACTACTATGTAACACTTGAATAATTGATCGGCTTCCTTGTAATACATTGGTACGGCTGAGTCGATACCAATATAGGAGAGTAATGGTCATGTTTTGACTCTCTCATTCAGGTATTTGCCGATTAGCTGATTCATTTCTCTGCTATGATACTTGAAGCCTGTAATGAAATTGCCTATCATTGCTCGCATCAAAGTCTTGACGCGTTTGATCCAGATCTGACGACGACTGTGAGCAACAGTTGCCCGCAACCCAAAATGTGGTTGAACAAGGTGAATACGGCAAATCACATTTCTCGAGAAATGAGTGCTCGCAGTTGAGATTATCTAAAGTTTTGCTTTCTCGCTTAGCCAATCAGCTACTGTCAGACATCAACAAATGTTAAGCTATCCATTATCTTCTATTAATGGATATTGTTGAAGGAGGCTTGATGTTCCGCTAATGTCTTGTCAGTTTTTGATTGTTTTCATTTCTGCGTCGAAATGGTTCTCTTGAACGGCTAAATGATTAAGGTTGAGTCCTAATTTTTGAAGTTGATTGCGATATTCGGTATTCTTCTTCAGAAGTTGCAGGGCGAAATTTGCTACTAGAGCTCCGATGCGTAGAGTTATACCAAAGTATCACTGTTGTTTAAAATCGGAGAACTTTGTTTGTCTATCCAAGATTTTTTGTTGCTTTCGTCCTCATCAGCTGCCTGAGTGACCAGGATGGTTTCGTCGAATGACTATTTGAGCTCGTTATTTTTCGTCATTTGCATGGAAAATGCTGGTTGTGCTCAAATACTAACTTCACTGGTGGGCAACCGAGAGGATCGTGACTACTAAATTTGCAAGTTTTGTAGTTCACCTGCTGCTACTGCGAATTGTATGATTGGCTGTGTTTGGATGTTGCGGAAAATGTTTCGGCTTGTTGACTGGTATATTCTGTTGAAACCTGGCATTTCGATTGGCCTAAAAATAAATTGTCTGTTTGGATCCGAATCAAGCAAATGCTAATGTTGAAGCTTTCGAGGTGCTGCCATCTACTACCAATTTTGTTTGGTTTTAGGGCACTTTCCAGGAGTTACAGCCCGGAACTATTGAACTAATTTTCTTTTTGGAATGCAAACTGTCGTCTTTGGGGCAGGTTGTGAAATGGCAGCAAGAAATGAAGTGCGGCTTCCCTCGTTGAAGTTGTCCTGGCATAGATAGCTGCTCCATTAGCCATCTCCGAAGCATCGCAGAAAAGATGAACTTTGGCTTGCTGAAAGCTGTCTATGGCCAAGTACCGAGGTACAGCCGATCAAGATAGAAGACTTAAGCTATCCAACCAGTGTTGGAATTTATTTGCGTTATGTGCCGCATTACCGTCTTCCCATTCCAGATCTCCATCCCAAATTTTTGGAACAACTCTTGGGCGTTATCATTACAGGGGTCACTAGTCAAAATGGATCAGAAACCTTTTCCCAAATTGTTCGCTATCATCCGGCGAGTGATTGCAGGTTGTCGAGTGTTTTTGGGCAAAGCTAAAGAGTTGCCCTCAAGCAAATTAGATCACTTTCTGTATGTTATTCTTCTCTCTTTGGAGTCTTTATTGGGTGGAGTCAATATTGTGTTTTCGGGTGGAGCTAGGGTGGAGTCTTTATTGTGTTTTCTGCGCATTAACTAAAATTGGTTAAAAAACTTGCTCTTCTTTGTCCAAAATTATCTTATTCGGGCATGGTAGAAACAAGCTCTAGCCCCCTTTTTTCCTTTCTTTCTTTTCAAAATCTTTTTTTGTTCTGCTATTTTTAATGTTTTTACGACGAATGTAGTCTTTTGCGCCTACTTTTGTTAAAAGCCTTCAATTTCTTCCTCTCATCTAGCCACGCACAAAAAAAAAACACAAATTTGCAAAAAAATGCTTTGTTAGTTTTTAATACGGTCAGAACTTTCTGTCTTATTGAGATAGGTTCTTAAACTTAGAAAAAAAATTTCAAATTGATTTACAAAAGCATATCAACTTTTCGATGTTTTGATATGAGGAACTTAATACGGAATGATAAAAAAAACTCAGGGTCTACACATGCTTAAAATAGACGCTTCCGACCTGTAGCAGTCTTGCAAATTTTTCAAGTTTTCTTTAACTTCATTTCTAGGAACAAATGTATCTTCTAACCTTCTGCTGAAATAACAAATTGTTTTTAAATAAAAAAAACCAAAAAACCCCACAACTCACCTCAGAATTAGTATAAAAAGAAAATGGCGCAGAAGTTTCCTTCAAAAAGTTTGAATTGGTTGATCACAAATGGATGTCGTTAAAAGTACCGAAGGCTGAGTAAGAAGTTCGAACTTACGAAAAGAATCATCCATACCCATATCCCCCCAACCACACACATACTCACAATCTTGCCACGAATCCCCTCAGTGGCTACAAAATACATCTTTGTTTTTATTTAATTCAAAATTTTTGACAATTCCATGATAATTATTCATATTATTTATTATTCGTGTGTCTCGATCATTTGTTGTTATTATATGAAAGTGTTCTTGTCTGTTTTCGTGTTCTTGTTCTTTCTACTGGGGTGGTTTTCCTGAGCCTCCGAAGGCTGCAATAGGATGACATAACTGGTACTTATTGAACTCAGCTCTCGAGGTGTACTCTTTTACAGACGGGATCTCCTCGAATCTCTCCTTGTACTTCTGAAGTCTCTCACATCCGTCCATCACAGTTGGTTCCAGAATCAAATAAGCATCCATCATGGACCATAAATGGAAGTCAGGATAAGTCAGTCGGTCTCCAAACAGCCACGTCTTCTCTTCCAAAAACTGATCCAGTTGTTTGAACACTCCGGTAGCCTGCGGAACGGATACTTGCTTCATAGTCTCGAACTGGTCGCGACTATAGCATGTCAAGAAGAAGAAATAATGAAGTTCAAGTTTGATCAGGTCTGCAACTTCATTCATTTTAGCCTCTTCCAACGAATTCTCAGCCCCCATTCCATATTTATTCGCCACATATTTCAAAATAGCCCCACTTTGTGCAATTTGGATATCCTTGTCAATGTAATAGGGAAGGTTCGGGAAATCCAGTCCCAGTTCCAGTTTTCCCTCGTGCCATGCCGGGTGAAGTTTTCCTCTCTCATCCATCGGGAAAGTTTCGAACTTATAAGGAATGCCTTTGTGGTACAAAATCATTCGGATTGGCTCGACCAAACCGCGGATGTCCCAGTATCCGAGACGAATTTCGGGTTCGGAGCTAACAGGAGCTTCGGCGGCCATTTTCGACAAACTTCTTGAACTGTTTTTCGTGTTTCGTTGTTTACACTAAACCGTATCTCGAATATAATGTCAATAGCTAAAGTGAACTTACGATTCAGCTTGGTTCATATCAAATACAGTTGGCAAATAGACCATTAGTTCTGCTGTGTCAGCATTAGCTTTTCAAAATACAACGTTTGAAAAGTGTATAATTTTCCTATGTGACAAAGATAAAATATTCCATCGATTTCTTTGAATTTTTAACTAACAAAACAACAGAAAACTGAAATTCGCTGACAGTTTTTAGATTCTTCCGTCTGAATTCTTATTACATAAAAAAATAAAGAACGAAATTTTAGAATTTACAAATATTTTGTATTATCAACTCCTGAGTGTAAAATGGAAAATTTTGAATTCAGAGTCGTTTTTAATAATCTACTTTCTCCGATATTTTTTTCTCATTTTTCAGGGAGTCCCTTTTTGGATGTGGGAGGTCGATTATGATGGCCAGTGAGGTGATTCTGATTATGATGATGATGGTGGTTGTGAGGATGCGAAGAGGTCACGCTATCTGAGCTGGCGGGCAAATTATGGGCTAACTTGTCGATCATCAAAAGTGCATATTTAAGTCGACTGTGCAGGTGCTTTGTAATCACTCCTGATCGGAAAGCAGAAGCACTGAATGTCCTGAAGTTTTTATCTTCATCAATGTAAGATATAGCTTGCATGACCGGACACAACATTATTTTAGAATGGCATTGGAAAAAGTTGATTTGGATGGTCCCATTACTTAAAAACAACACAATTGCGTTTCTTGTTCTGAACCAGGTCCTCAAAAAAGGCAATCGGCTTTTAACAACTTCGTCCACTGGTCGCTCAACGTCACCTCCTGTTTTCAACAAGTGTTCACTCATGTAACTTCTGAAATACTTCAACAACGTGATCTTCTTTTTCAGTTCACCTGGAAAATCGCTCATAGAGTGAAAGGTTTCCTTGTGTCTGTGGTCAATGAACTGAATGTTCTCCTCGTCCTGGAACAGCACCATTCGGCTATTGTCATTGAATAGGACTCCAACGGATCCATCGCATAGCTGGTAGCTCAGCCCATACTTGTCCGAATAGTCCACCCATTTGCTGACCCAGTAAATGGGAATCAGATCCGGAGACTCTTGGTCCTCGTTGAGCTTACTCACAAATTGGTGATCGTTCATTTTGTCAATGTAATGAATCATCGACTTCAGCTCCTGAAGATGTTTCATTGGCGAAACTTGGCTCATGTCGACAATATCGTCGCTTGATTTGTTCATACTGTTCGCTTTCCCGAGCGAGCTGGCGACTGTTTTCGGCCGGTTGATGTTCAAGTCGTTGATTGAAGAGCCGATACGAGACTTCGTTCCTCGAGACAGCTGGTTCATATTTATGTTGTCACCTCCGTTCACACTCTGGAGTGCTTTCCGTTTCATCTGATCCGACGTTTCTTCCGAGTTGTTACTTGCTGGGTTTTGGAGAAGATTCAATCTCGGTGTCATGTTAAGGCAGGAAGATGGCAACATTTTGGGCAGAAACCCATTTATCATAAATGGGTCCACCATAATGTCTCTTAGTTTCGGCCGTTTGCTCGGGTCGGCCGAAAGGAGCCTTCGTATTAAGGATGCGGCGTCATGGCCGAGCTTAGACGGGATATGGTAGTCGTTGGCTTTGATTCGCTCGTACGTGTCATTCAGAGTCTGTGTTTCAAAAGGAGGTTTTCCCACTAGCAGCGTGTACAGGATACATCCTATGGCCCAAATGTCAACTTCGTAGCTGTGCCCTTTCTTCTGCAATACTTCAGGGGCTGAAAAGAGAACATTATGTTTATTTTTCTGATTTGTATAAAAAAAATCGAAAAAAATTAACCAAATTCAAGTTAAACAATAATCTAAGAATACATTTCAAGCTAACCAATTTCAAGTTTAACAGTTAACTAATAATGTTTCGGTCACTTTAAAAGCAATTAGTGTTGCCTTAATTTTGATGCTCGTCCAAGTCATTAGTTCCAAGTAATTAATTTGTTTTTAATAGATTACTACTATCGTTGAACGGATGAGTCATTAATTTTTAACTTGAGAATCACTTCTGTATACGAGTGATTTTTCCGAATCTGTCTTTTTTTTACCGGACTACTTTTTTTACCGCGCTCTTGTTTCAATATTAGCATTTATTGGCTCTGAAAGCAGTCTTGGAAAACGTTTTGAGTCAGTCAATTATAGAAATAGTCAACCCGCTTCCGTCAAACTTTGTTCGCTATTTAGAACGATCGTAGGCGGCCATATTCGCGTGAATATTGTCAATTACCTCAGTTCGGATAGTCACCTATATCATGTTTGAAAAACTTCAAGAATCAGTTTTTGTAGATAGCGAAATCGTTTACTAAAAAATTTAAAATTCACAGGAGGAAAATGAGGCATAGGAAATCTGTTTGGTTGATTTAAGGTACCAATAGGATCGCTCGTAGGCTCGCTACTTATATTAAAGCATTTACAACTGTATTTAAAACTCATAAATCAAACTTCAAAAAATTTGGATCTACTTAACAATTAACCCTCCCCTCTTGGGTATCTACTGAAAAATTGCCACCCCTATATAAATTCTCCCAAAGTACAAAAAATTATCCTGTTATTTCTAAACGTTTGGTTTTTTCCTTCGGTGGAGCAAAGCCGATCAAATGGTACCTTTGTTTTATGTAAGTCTCAAAAAACTGTCTTGAAACGTAATTGTGCGATCCCTCTTGTTCAGAAAATCATTTTTGTTTTAGAAAGTTGCACGTTTTTGTGTCAGAAAAACTCCGATAAATTGTGCAAATGAAAGGAAAAATTTTTTATTACTAAAAGTATCGGCGCTCACTAGCTAGGTAAAGTACCAAGTGATGTATTTTGTGCAAGGTTACGCATTATTCAGAGCAAATAGTTTTCTTCAGTTCAATTTAGAATGATTTTTGTTTGTCGCTTACACTTTGGTGCAACAAAAAATTCGCGCTTTTAATCCCATTTCGAATTATAGTCGTGAAATTATCCCAAATTTAAACCAAAATAAATATAATTTTTCAAAAATTGTTCATAGTTGAAATATCTCTATTAATTTTGATCTCAGGAAAACGAATTTTCAGATGGTATCAAACGCTCACTTGAAAATTAAAAAATTGACTGAATAAAAACAAGACTGCTCGTATCAGGGCAAAGCCCTGACTGTTCTGACTGATCTTTATTTGGTCTCGGATAGTTTTTGGTAAATTAAAGATTGGCAAATTTTAACATTAGGCTGATTATACCAAAAAATAAGTGTTGCAATTTGAGTCATGCATGGAGTTAATAAAAATATCATCAATATCAGTATAACAGATATTGAAAATCTGGTTAACTTTATGACAGACTTTAAAAAACTAATTCTTCTGGTTACAACATTTTATCATTCACTCACGAGCTAAACAACATAGAGATTTTTACTTACTATGGTTTGGTTTCATTAGAAGAGTTATCTTACCGATGTAGTTTGGAGTTCCGCAGATTGTCTTTCTCCGGTCCTGTGGACTCTCAATCCTCGTGGCCAGACCAAAGTCCCCAATCTTCACCTGGACCAGGTCGTTCAAAAACAAGTTGCCCAATTTCAGATCACGATGCACCACCCCTCGCTCGTGTATGTAGCTCACAGACTGCAAAATCTGGTGAATAAAGTACCTCGCTTCCTCCTCCGTGATGGACTTGCGTCTCTTGTGCAGCTCCATCAGCGACCTCCGCTTGCACAGTTCCAGCACGATGTAAATGAAATCATTGTCTTCGAAGTGTGAATAAAACTTCACTATATGTGGGTGGTCCATTCTGCTATGGAGATTGATCTCCATTTTCATTTTGTCTTTCTGCTGGGGCTTCACTAAAAGTAACTTGGGCACAATTTTTCCCGCGTAAATCTGTCCGTTTGATTTGTCTGTTAGTTCGAAACATTTCGCGAAGCCTCCTTTGCCGAGGAAGCGTCCCTTCGTGTAACACGCCTTCGTAGTCGGGTCTCGGATCTCCTCGGGAATTGGAATGTCGGGGAATCGGTCTTTGCTAGACATTTTGTCCGCAGGTCGATTGAAGAACACTGGTCGAATAATGACGGTGAAATGAAATCAACACATAATCAATTTCTCAAATGAAAGCGGTTTCAAACCAATCGTTTTTCGATGCGCACAAAAAAACTCGAAAGGAACAGAAAGCTATAGTCGTAGAAAACTTAGATTGTCAATTTGAGCTGTTTTGAGTTTAGTTATTGAACAACGTTTTGCTATTGTCTATAAACGTGTTTATTTTTTATCAATTAATCAATTTTTTCGTGGAGGTTTGTAAGATAAAATCAAGTGGAATTTTTGACAAAAACAATACCATGTGCTAAACAGGTAAAATCAAGTCATTTTTTAAACTTTTGACTTACAAACACAGCAGCTCATACTGTCGATTATTTTTGATTAAAAATAAGATGGAGGCAACGTAGGTAACTTATAAAATAAATCATCCTGGCTGTCTAAATGAGCAAAATAACGCATTAACATTGTGAGTTTTTATCGTATTACTCAAAAATACATTCACGTGAATCGTTTTTATATTGTTAGTTAAACATTGAGACGTGTTTAACTTCAGCAATCAGACTATTTTCGTGGTTATATTTTTTGGCTCACAAATAACTATCATTCGAAAATAGCTCTAACACTTGTGGTAAACACAAGTCAGTTTTAGCTGCGTTACAACATGTTTGAAATGGTCCAAAACTGCAGTCAAATGATTGACCAGAGGCTTCAGTACTATATGTTTTTTGTATTTTCTTTAGACCAATTTAAAGTTTTTCTGAGGTAAAAATGGTAAATGTCATCTGAGAAAAAATATAATAATAAATTACGTAATAAAAAACAGAGAGTAAGACAGAAAGAAACATGAAGTTGTTTACTTAAAAGCGTTTCTCTTATTCAATAGATTCGCAGCATCCATTTCAGCGTCAATCAAAATAGAATAACACAATTAAATCAATTTAAAAAATTGAATTGAGCTCAGCGTAATTGATCAAATCGAAAACAGTTTTGTTATCTTTCTTTTGTCCGGGTGGCTTTTTTCTAATTCGGAAGTGATGATGACTGAGGGTGGCCCGGAACCCTTCCACTCCTGGGATCCGAACAACGTCTACAGTCTTCCGAAGTGTCTCCTCTGCGAACAAAACCCGGTTTGTCACCCCAGTTTCCAAGCAGAAACGTAAAATACAACCGTTATTTTCAAAAACTCGTCTTATAATAACCCGCCAAGGGCCAGCATCTAAAATAGACAGTTCAAAGTTTAACAATTAAGCGTATGGGCCTGCAATTCTGAATAGTGTCGAAACTTTGTGTTATTATGCATATATTGTGCAACATTACAAACATATTTCAGCATTTTCTTTAGTAATCAAACTTTTGAGTATGCAAACGTAAAATATAAACTTTGTTCAGAATGGCGACAACCGACAATTCGTCGCATCTAGAGTTGACTATAATCCATTAATTGGAAATAGAATTTCATTTATTGCACCGGGTCGAGGTCCTGCATCTTAAGATAAAAACCGAACCTCCCGGTAATTCCAGGTCGACGCGATAAAAAACATAAAAACTATCGCGAGTCAAAAATCTACAAAAAAAAGACGCAACCGGCGCGATTAACAGGATAAACGGATGGAAAAAATATAGCCCCGATCGGCACAAGTAAAAAAAACGCACAAAATTTTTGTTAAGTCAAAACCGGTGCCACTGAGAAACCAATTCAAAAAAAGAAACCGTCGTGAGCAACGCCAATTAAGAAAAACAAGATAATATTACCTAACATTGTTCAAAATAAATTAAAGCAATTCGAAGCATTTTAAAGGATTCATGCATAACGTTTCCTTTCTTAAAATTTGTTGTTCCCACTTTCGAAGAAAGTGAAGGACAAATATGTTTTTGGTGGCTTTTTTATTCAGACCATTTTTCTAAGACTCTCGTCTCTCGGGGGATCAAGTGTCCACACCACTATAGTAGGCTGCCATGAGTTTGTCTAAGACTGTTTGTTTTTTTATCCCGCACTACAATATCGTTCCAAATTGAATCGAGGCAGGTAATTGGTTTTATTAACTCCATACAACTCAAATTGCAACGCTTAATTTCCGATATTATCAGCCTAAAATTCATAGTTTTGCGAATGTTTAATTTACCAAAAACTATCCGAGATCAATTAAAGGGCAGTCGGATCATTCAGGGCTTTGCCCTGATATGAGCAGTCTTTTCAACTATATGCGTACAATAGTGCCTTGTAACAAATTGACCCCCTTTGAAGGAATAATTGAACAGCTAATCATCCATGAATTTTGTACCTTATAACAAATTAGCTCCCCTTTTCCAAAAGGGGAGCATATAGTTAACGAGGATGGTCGGTTACTGTGCAAGTAGCACAGAATGTTCCGATCATAGTCTTGAAAAAATTTAACAAAGTTATTTCAAATTATTGTCGTTTTTTTTCGGCGTGGTGTTATGAAAGGAGCTGAAAAAGAAAACTGGGGATTAGGTATATTCGACAGTCATACTATAAAAATCAAATTGAAAAACAGTTTTTGTAGAAAAAAATACGAAAAAAAACGAATAAGAAATCAAAAAATTTTCGAAAAATTTTTTTCAATCTTTTTGCAGTTTTTTGAATTTTTGAAAAATTTCATTCCAAAAACGCGCTAAAATATTCAGGGTAAACTACGGTTGCTCAAATCAAACAAAATTTTCAAGTTTTAATTTAAGCTATTGCAATGTTTTAAGAAATTAAAAAAGACTGCTCGCTCGCTTTTTTCGCTCGAAATAAGAAAAAAATTCAAAACTTTCAAACCTATTTTTCTCGACACTGTGGAATTTAAAAGTTTTTGGTGTTCGCAATACGACTATAAGGGCTTTAATATGGTACATCACTCAACCTAGTCCAATGATTATTTGTAGTACCTGATTTTGCGTAAAAAACATAACGAAAATAAAACAACGATTGCCGGTTACTGTGCAAGTAGCACAGAGTTGTCCGACCATATTCTCTAGGAAACTACGGTTTAGAAAATTTTTTTTTCATATTAGTGTAGTTTTTTCTGCTTGGTGTGATAAAAGGATCTGAAGTAGAAATATAATTTAGGCATATTAGACAGTCATATTATTATAGGAAAATTGGATAAACATTTTGTAGAAAAACGACTAAAAAAACAAAACAGAAAATTTAAATTTTTTTTTCAAAATTCATTGCTGAAAATTGATGGGTTCCCAAAACGAGGCTAAAAGACTCCAAAAACTAGTTTTATTTGCTTAAAGTTGAATTGCAGGGTTTTGAATTAGGCATAATTCAGCTGTTGGAAGCCTGCTCGCTTTCTTTATTTGCTCAAGTTGAGGCGAAATATCAAAAAATTGTAAACCCGTTTTTCTCGACACCAGAAAAAGTTTTGGAAATTTTTAAAAAGGTTCGATTCATAGAAAGGGCTTCAATATGATATATTACTCAACCATATCCGATAATTTTGCGTGGAAAACAAAAAATAAAAACACAAGAATACAAAGTTCCTCTCCATTTTCATTGGTCGGAACAATTAAAAAAACTGAAATCACCTGAAATCCAGTTTTCTCCCCAGTTTCAATAGTTGGAACAATAAGATCCTTCAGTTCTGCTGAATGCTCCTATATAATGTTAGAGGTTTCATAAGTCTGTGTTTTTGTTCCGACTTTCGCTGAAAGTAACGGAATGTTTGTGCTCTGAGGACAAATATTCCGTCAATTTCTGCGAAAGTCGGAACAAAAACATAGACCGATGAAACCTCTATTGTATTTTTTCGCCAGACAAAATTTGACTGTTTAACTAGCCTGTTTGACGGGGTTAACTTATACCATTCGGGAGGTGTTTTTGTCTTGAGATCGATTGTAACATATATTTTTCCTATAATAACGTGTCGTTAAGTTATGAGAGCCTCAAGATTGCCATTTTGGTCAGTTTGTGACAATAAACGCGCGCTAGATTTCGCGCTGTTAACGCATAAGCGGAAATTTAATTGGTCAAAATATTGGTCTAAAGTGATTAAAACAGGCTGTTTGTCATAAATGCTGCGTTGCTTGGAGTAAAATCTATTACTTTGAATTTATATGGCTTGTATTTTTAAATTTTTCTTCAGTTTTTGAAAAGTTCATCGTTATTTAAAGCCAGCACACCACCATAGACCCTGAAAATCAATCAGAACATCCAGGGCTTTGCCTTGATACGAGTAGTCCAGTTGTTCCGCATTTCGTATCGAATGATACGGATTATTTGTGCTCGGGGTGTTTTTTTTTTCAGACAAATTTCCACTCTTTAACTAACTATTTTTGACAATTTTTTATATCACTCAAAAGTTATTGTTGTCTTGAGCTTAAACTTGAAAAGATAATTCACCTGTGATTATTTTTTGGTAAAGTTATGGCTTAAAAATTGCCTTTTTGGCCAATTTGGGACAATTAACGCGCGATTAACAATTTCGCGCTTTCAACGCGTAAGCAGAGATTTAATCAGTCCTAGAAATCGTTGCAATTTTGTGAAAGGAAGCTTATTTGCCATAATTGGTTTGTTATTAGGAGCAAAATCTATTACTTTGAATTTTATTGTGTGGGGGGATCATTTTCACAAAAAATCTCAAATTAAACAAAAAATCTTTCCATTTATTACGTTTGATATTTTCAATTTTTTCATGTTATTACTGCTTCATAGACGTTAAAATGCAGTCGGAACATTCAGGGCTTTGCACTGATACCAGCAGTCTTGTTGAGCTTTATTTGAGACTTCTTCAATGTTGTGTCCTATATCTGGAACCATAAAACGTTTTGCATCAAAGACTTTTTTTTGTCTAATATCACATGCATCTTTCTCCTTGGAGGCGTCTTAGTCAAGACGTTGACACAATCAGGGCTAGGAATTAAACTGCGGCGAATTTTAGGCGTTTTCCAAGTGTTTGAATTGCGGGATTTCCGAGTGTGGCTTTGAATCTCAGTGCGATAGAGTTTGAATATGAAATAGGCGCAACTTTCAAAGTCTTGCTTGAGGGTCTCTAGAATCAATTTCTATGTAGTTTTGTTCCACATCGAAGCCGTTGCCTGCTAGTTCGTTTTATTTTCGGTTTGATTTCAATTTGGAAAACATCGCAAAAGTCAGTAAAGTTTTCCAAAAAATTAACTCATCTGCGAAAGTTTTGTTTTTGTTCCGACTTTCGATACGAAAGTAACGGAATATTTGTGCTCGGGGTGGGTTTTTTTTTCTTCAGACAAATTTCGACTTTTTAACTAGCCATTTTTGACGAAGTTTTTTTATATCATTCGAAAGCCATTGTTGTCCTGAGCTTAAATTTGAAAAGATATTTCACCTGTGATCATTTTGCGTAAAGTTATGAGGGTTTAAAGATTGCCATTTTGGCCATTTTGACCAATTTGGGACAATTAACGCGCGATATAATTCACGCTAATACCGCGAAAGCGGAGATTTAATCCGTGTTATAAATCGTTCCAAATTGGTTGAACGAAGCATATTTGCCATAATTGATTTGTTACAAGGAACGAAATCTAAATTTTTGTACTTAATATGGCGTGTGGGGGGATGATTTTCATAAAAAATTTCAAATTTAAAAAAAAAATTTCATTTTTTTTATTTCATTTAATTTTTTATGTTATTACTGCTGCTCCATAAACCTTAAAAGGCAGTCGGAACATTCAGGCTTCGCCCTGATACGAGCAGTCTTGTTTAATTCTATGGCAGTTATGTGGAACTGATAATATTATACGGTTTGAGGAAACGTGAGAGCTAGTAAAACATTCCTTAGACAAAGTTAGTCTACAAATGCCGGTCTATTGCGTTTTTTGAGAAAATATCTAAACCATGGTCCATTATCAAAGCAATGCAACTTTTGTCGATGCAACTTTTGAACGATACAGCTCAAGTTTTCCCATAAATTGAAATATATATTGCTTTTTGCTAATAAGATCAAAGTTATAAACAAATCAAAAGATTGGCAGAGTGGTCTTTTAGTCAGCAGTTTTTCAGAGTAATATCTGCGGCAGAAACGCAAATTCTTCTTTAAAAGATCACCAGTTGTTAACAAAACTTTTCTAGAACTACATAACTTCCTTATGATGATTATCCTGCTTTTGCTCTGTTTTAAATAAGTACCTCCAGGTTAAGCTAGATGGTTGAACAAACTCGATCAGTGACCCTTGATATCATTGTTCCAACCGCGTCACTGAAAGTAGCTGGAACAAACTTTGGCTTACGGTGTTTTAATTGTTTTAATTCGAAGATTTTCGTCTATTTATCAGAGAGCTCGTAGATGGCCCGTTTGGTACCACAGTAAAGCCTTTTTAGTCAGAAGAGGGGTCCTAAAAGACTCAGAAAGAAGTTATCTCCGTGTCGACAAAAAGTGGTCTTCGTTTTTTTGAAAGCTATTTTTGCAAATTCAACAAAACTCTACAAAAAACAAAATGGCACTGGACATTAAACCAGGGGCGGATCTAGGATTTTCTCGAGGCGGGCGGATTTACAAAAAATTTTCGTTTTTTAGGTCGAGCAAATTGATTTTCCGAGCTCTCACAAACCACTAAAAAGGCTCTGTTTTGGCCAAATTTTCTGCGCCGCTGTCAAAACTTTGAAAAAACCAAAAAGTCGTTTTTAGGCAGATTTTGGAAAATTTTGGCCTAAAAATCGCGTTTTTTCGGTGCGCGCTCCCCCCTCAAAATTAGTATATATTGGTGCCAAAGGCGCCTTTAGAAAAATTTTAGGGTCGGTCGGCCAAAAATGGATTTCTTAAAAAGTATTAAGGGGTACCCTTTGGGTCGGCAGGGGGTCGAATCCCTGAAGAGAAAGCGTCCACCCCCCCCCCCCCCCCCGCCCCCCCCCCTTAAATCCGCCCCTGCATTGGACTCTAATTGTACTCAAATTTTTACGTTTCCTAGAGCAATATAAAGGAGGAATATAAAGGAGGAATATACAGGAGGCGTTAAATAGAGGAGTATTTACTTTTTAGTCTTGCAGTTTTGCACAATATTTTTTAAAAACGACGTAATCCAGAAAAACTATTCCGGTCATTTAAAAAATAGGGAGGAGTTTTGTGTTCGGGTGCGTTTTAATTTTTTCTTATTCTATTTTTCTTTTTTTAGTGTTTTTCATGCAAAATCAGGTACTACAAATAATTATCGGAATGGGTCCATTGATATGTCATTTTAAAACCTCTCAGTCGTAATTCAAAAATTTCCCCCAGTATTGAGAAAAATATTTCAACAATTTTTTTTTCGTCTAATTTCAAGCAAGAAAAGCGGCTTAGTTTGTTTGTCAACCAAAAGAAAATGCCACAATATTCATTGGAATGGCAAGAGTGATATATCCAATTAAAGCCCTTTCAGCTTTGATTCAAACAACATTAAAAAAACATTTCAAAAGTTGTCCTTATGTCGAGAAAAATGGTTTAAAACGAGTTTTATATCCATTTTGATTGTAAAGCAAGCGAGCATATTTTTTATAGAAGAATAAACCGAAAATTTTTAAAAAATTTCTAAGAAAAAAAAACAATTTGAAATTTTTTTTAGCGCAATTTTGACAATGAAAACTTCAACAATTCAAAAAAGTATCTGCAAAAAATTGAAAAAACAGTTAAGTTATTTTTATTGAATATTTTCAATGTTTTTTTTGTTTCCCTCGTCAATTTGACAAAATGATTGCCGAAGTAGCCTGTTTCACTGACGAATATGTCTTTATAAAAGAAACTAATTTGAAAAAAAAAAAAAAAGAATTTACGTATCATTACGAGGCTAAACTGTGCATTTGTGGTTGTACGCGGAATCCGCCACATGAACGCGTTCTTTGTTCTTAGTTTTTCTTTCTCTTTCTCTGATCGTTCAGACAAAATTTTAACATGTTCAAAGACTTGTCTTTTGAATCCAGGAACATACAGAAACAAAATTGTGCGCCTATCCAGTGCACAGTTTGGCCTCCTAATGAATTTTTTAAAGATAATGGTCTGAACATTCTGTGCTGCTTGTACAGCAAACGGCTATCCTTGTTTATTATTTTCATTTCTTAAGTCAATTTTAATTGTTTTTTATTGTGCACTATTATTCACTATTTATTTACTTTGTCATTGCGGTCGGAACATTCTGTGCTACTTGCATAGCAACCTAATATCCCTATTACTTTTTTTTTAATGGCCTTGATTTTCAGCCCGTATTTTTCGGGCGATCAGTCTCAGAAGTAGTAATTGCTTGCTTTGAAAATAGTAACAGGAATATTTGCAAGTGCTCGTATCCCATAGAACTCCGATATCACCGATTAATGTGCAGCGTCATGCATTAAACGTGCACCTAATGTATTGTCTGGCGAAAAATAGGTCAGTTTTGTTATTCGGCTATTTCGAAGAAAAAATGTTAACTACTCTCTGTTTAAAGAAAACTCCAGTTGTGCGGCCCTTGTCCGATCCAGGTTTCGTGGCTGGCTCTCGACTGCTCATAGATGGAAGTGTCGATCGCTTTTCGGCTGGGTAAGTTTTTAAACTTGAAGAAGCACCACCCAACAGATTTAACGATGAAAAAGTTTTTTCATGCGCACAGTTTTCTCACAATGGGCTTCCTTCTATCATTCTAGAAATAAAAATGTGAGTTAACTCAGTTTTGCTCATGAGTGCAAAAAAAAAGATTGTTGGATGCCCCTTTTTTGATCCAATCACCCGCCTTATATAATTTTAGTCAAAATTTTGCCATTATAAGGCGTTTACAAGTTTTAGCTGATCTCTTAGATGATCTAAATTTATGAGATTTAGACCAAAAAAAAATATTGAATGATGATTTATATGGTGAGGTTATAAATTCAATGCTGAAAAAATCTAGTCCCAGCTGCAAAAGTAAATGGACAAGCACAATTGATTGACTTCAGTTTCGTACTGTTGCTTTGTTTTCATTCCAACAGCGGGCTTAGCTTGCTCCTGTTTATTCAGTTTTTCGTTTTTTGTGGAGTATTTAGAACATTTTGCTGACTTTTTTATTTTTTTGGGGGCGTTCAACAATGCCGAAGTACAATAGAGTCAAAACTGAAAATGTGTTCAAAAGTTCCGAAAAATGATGGTTTTGAAAATTTTGAGTTATATGCGTTGGTTGCATTTTTGAGTAAATACTGTTTTCTTTTGTAAGACCGAGCGAAAAATTTTACAATTTAAATGTGTTAATTGATGTTCAGAAAAATTTATGAAGCCGCGCTTGGGGAATTTTTGCTTGCTTAACCAGCGCTATGAATATATATGGTCATTTTTGTCCTTTTAAATTTCAGTCAGTTTGAGTAAAATCACTTGTGATTTGTGATAAGTAAAAACGTTATTCAAAATAACTTTTGGTACTGTTGAACAAAATTTTGATTTTCAAAACTGTTGCACTTCGGCACTGTTGTACTGCCCCTGCTTTCCACTTCGTGAAAATGAAACGACTTATGCTTTAAGTGCTCAATCTTAAGTGCCACAAAGAAAAGTCGTAGAAGCTAAAGTTTGGTATCATATCATAAACATATTGGTCGCTATTTTAAAAAACCTTAAGAAAAATGTCTCAGTGTCGAGAAAAAATAGACCACAAACTTTGCTTGTATAATGATGTAGACAAAATTTGATTGGAGACTAAGCTCCTACAGCTTTTTCTGCTACAAAATTAAAGTCAATCTTGCTTTTTATACTAGTTCAGTCATCGTTTAGTTTGAAAAAATTAAATCATAAGAGAATACATAAGTTTTATATAATATATATATATATTTATATGTTTATACATATTTATGCTTTTTAATTTTTTAAAAGTGTTTTTAGTTTTTTTCTGCAAATGTGTACAGCGACTGGTTACTCTATTTCTTCAAACTTTTTTGTCTTACCACTAGAGTTTTGTATTCTTTTGTTACCTCTACTCTTATTTTTTGCTACGCTGTTCAGTTTGGTCACTTTTTTTCGTTTAAATTACGTTGCTTTTTTGCACATAATCTTGTAGCGCCATTAAGGTTTCATTTGCCGTTTCAGCTTCACAGTGGACTTTGTAAGTGGATCAGGAGTACCACATTCCTCTGTGGCCTCTGGGATCCCTTTGCGGTTCCAAGTGAGCATGACTCAGAGCGAGACCTACTTGAGCGCCAAGAGAGGGGGGCACTGGGAGGTGAAGGACCTCACTAATCCCAACAGTTTCTTTCCTTTTATGGCAGAAGAGCTATTCACTCTTCAGTTTGTTCACAAGAATCGCTACATTGAGGTACCTCGATTTTGTGATCAAACAATGTTATAGAGCATTCAAAATTTGAACGTTTGAATTCATTTTTCAAATTTGGAATAAATTTAAAAAGAAAAAATTGTGCTACAGTGTAGTTATCAGTTCAAATAGAAAATATGCAAATCACAGAAAAACTGGAAACCTGTGCTTTAGTAAAAATAAAAAGAAACTTTTATGATGACAACAAAAATCATAATAACAACAAGAAATGACGATAAAACAATAAGAAAAAGGCGTGATTTGTAACTTTTGTCAAAAAAGAAGGAAAAATGGGAAATTTAGCTTTACTTTTTCGTCATATTGATTCTTTTAAGGTGTTGGTTAACAATCAGTTTCACACGGCTCTCAAAGTTCCCGCGAATGAAAAATTGACGATGGTGGAAATTTCTGGAAAAGTGAAGATATCACAGCTGAGAATTGACAACCCTGTGAGTCATAGATTCCAAGAACATAAAATAGAGAGAAGCTAATATAAAAGATGTTTTTGATTGAATTTTAGATTTTGGTAGGTAACTGAAAAAAAATGCATCAGTAAATAAGTAAATTCAAGTTTTTTCTCATCAGTAAATTTCAAGTTTTTTCTAAGAACGAAAAAGAGAAAAGTTCATTTTAAGGTAATTAATAAGAAAATTTCGCGTTTTTTTTTATAAGAACGATAAAGAGAAAAGCTCATTTTTATCCATGATTGTTTATCGTTTCAGTTGATAGCAATAGTACGCGAAACACAACTGCCAATCATTCGATCTGGGGTGAGTTCCTCTGTTTTTGAAGAGACTCAGAACTGAAAAAAAATTGTAAATTGAAATTGATATGACAAGTATTAATCTTTGTGGTTTCAGCCAGACACTGCCATTTGCAGATATGTCAACAGAAGCGGCAACAGAGCCCTGTTGTGGCCTGGATCAAAAATCATAGTCAATGGAACCCTCGCGCTTGGAGACGCCAAGAGGTTGGCACGGGTCATTTTTCGGGACGAAAAATCGCTCTATTTTACATTTTATCCTAGCAAATTAGGTTATTAGGAAGGGAAAGCAAATTAGGTTACGATATGTATCGATTAACGCTATCTATCTGGTAATATTTACCCATGAATCCCGATCGTCCTCTTTCAGACAGAAAAAATTAAAAACTTTTACAGAAAAATTTCATATCATAAAATATACATACTTTTAAAGAAGCTTGAGACTGGAAAGTCTGTTTTGAGCCCTGTATATTTAAGGCTATAGTTTATATTTTGTAATATTTTTGAGATTTGTTCAGATTCCACATTACCATCCAACAAGGTTCAGTGGAGCAGAAATCGGAGAGCACTGCACTCCAGATTACCTTCAACCTCCTCGCAATGGTGGCCAGATTTCGCAGTAAATCGAGCCAATCTGATTGGCTGGGAAACCAGCAAGTGAACTTGGCCAATCACAGAGCGGCTTTGAATAACGATACCCGCTCTATTGAGGTTTCTTTCACTAATTTTACTGAGCATTTTACAGATTCCTATGTCCGTAAAATTGCCAATGTCGATATATGCAATAATAGTTTTTACCAAATCATATATCATTCAGATATGTTTTTATTTAAAAAAACAGTCATTTTTAAGTTATATTTTTCTCATTTTTTGTTTTTTTTTTGTGAGTTAGATCTTTTCAGGTCATCGTGGACTGTCAGCTGGAGTTTCTTAGAGTGGCCTTGAATGGGGGACACCTGACCAACTATCCACACGCAATAGACTTCACACAGGCAGACTACGTGATCATATCAGGCGACATAAAAACTAATGCAGTTCGAGTTGCGTAATTTAGACGTATAATTATGTGAACAGTTTAAAAATTTCATTCAAATGAATTTCTGTCGACCTAATTTACATTCAAGAGCTTTTTTGTCGCTCGCTAGAACTCAATAAAAGTTATTTAAAAACAGGGAAAGAGTGTAACCTATGAAGAACTTCAGAATTAAAAAGCATTCGTATTTCATTCTGAATTTAAATTACAGACCACAAGTATTTGAACCGATCAAAATAGTTTAGCTACCTTGTTTGACCTCCACACAAAGCAATTCTTGCTATTCGTACAATATCACACATAAAACTAATCAAACTAATGAAAAAAAAACGCTAGTCATACAATTTTATACCATGAAAATTGTATTACTAGCATTTTTCATAACTAATTTTTCTTCTAAATCAACAAAAAAATGTATAAACTAAAATTTAGGATGTTCAAAAACTGATACCCTAAGTGTGATTATGAAAATTGATTATGGAGAAAAAAATCTCCAAAAATGATAGCACAATTGTTCATTGAAAAACCTAGTCATACAATTTCATACTGTAAAAGCTGTGTGACTACTATTTTTTTTTAAAGAAAAATCAAAAAAGTAGGCACATTTTTGTTTAATTTTAGTCGCAAAATTATTTCTAGGTACAAACAAATAATTTCAAAAATCAGAATGTGTGTTTTGTTTGAAGCTAGACTTTGTAAGTTTAATATAGTAAGATAAATTGAAAGTCTGTCAAAATAACAAGCGGCGATTTACAGAAACTCAAATTTTCAGAAAAGAAGTTTCTTAGTCTTGCACAAAAAAACTTCGAATTTTTGAAAGAACCATGTGTGAAACTAATACATTACCTTTTATAACGAATCTCCAAATGTAGTTTATACGTGAGATTCTTGCCACTTAAACTGTTGATTTTCTCATATGAAAAATTTTTGATTATTGCGTATAGGCCCGAACACAAAACTTGAAGCGAAACTCAAACAATTAGTAATTTTCACATTAGGAGACGACAGTAGCCACACAATTCCATACAACGAAAAAATTCTGGTCACACTGTTTCACACTGGGAAAAAATTTTACTCACCCAATTTCAAAATGCGAAAAAATGCTAGTCGTATATTTATCAGTAACTTTTCTGGACGTGTGAATTGCTAGTTTCACTAATATGAAATTATATGGCTTATATAATGTTTTTTTTACTGTGCGGGTATGAATTTTTAAAAGAAAACATACGGTTTAAATGGTGCACGTTGCAAGTGGCTAGTTTTAGAACGATTGAAAAACATTTTTCTATCAAAGCCAAAATGAACGCTTAAAACGTTTTGGTTTTTTTTTCTGGGTTGACCACCGATTGGAATGCGCAGAATACTGGTCCAAACGAAATTTTTAAAACACTCGAACATTTTCACCGTTGATGAATTCTGAAACGAAAAACGTTTCTAGTAATTTAAAACTAAGCGCGACCTTTTTTAAGATTTTTAAGGGTCTTTCTTTTTTCCACTTACTTTCCTATCAGCTAGATCTTTGTAACTTAACTAAGCTTTTAGTCTCTGGTTACCCATTTCATAGATCTTTTGATCTGTCGTATATGTAAAATTGTTATCACAAAAGCACAATATTTCAAAGGACTGAAAAGATAAATAAAATAAATCAGAGTATAAATGATTGAACAAGTGTTTTTTTTAAAAACCGCAAGTGGTTGACGATCTGAGAATGCAAAAAAACGTTGGTCGGAAAAAGTACTTATTTTGTGTTGGCCAAAAAAAATGTTTCAGCACAGGAACCTTCAATTTTTGTCTTCTAAACGCAAAAACTAACGAAATTGGCAAGATTTTTCATCACAAACTTCAGCTTATGGATAATTCGAATTTTTTTTTTTGCTCTTATTCATGGAAATATACGACAAAATTGTATGTTTTTCATATTTTCTGGTATTTATGACAGTAAAAGTTTTAAAGAAGCAAAAAAAAATCATTTTTTCGAGCTTAATATGACACCCAGAAACGGATTTGAAAGATGTGCAAAATACATCCCCCACACACCCTCTCACGTATTAGACGCCCTGATCACCCAAAGAGTAAACCCTAAGTTACTATTTTACGATAACAAATTTTGTTCGACTAAGCCTAGAAAACTTTTTAACACTCATTAGACGCTTATATATAACCCTTTTTTTGAGGAGCGCGCGTCAAAAAATGCATTTTTTTGTCAAAACATTCTAAAAAGTGCCCTAAATAGTTTAGCCTGCGCAACAAAAAAGTTTGAAAAATGAGGCTTATGAGATTTTGTAAGAGCCCAGGAAATTGTTTGGTCAACCTAAATAAGTCGAGACAATTTCTCGCCAAGCCCCCCTCCCCAAACCCCCCCCCCCCCGCCCCCCCCCCACCGGCAGAAAAACTAAGATTAGAGAGCAGAATTGGTCATAACTTTATATAATGCATAAAAGTATGGTTTGCTATTTACGAAGAACTTTTTTTCTTCCTGATTTCCTAAGTTTTGCAAAACCTTCAATTAACCTTAAAATAAACTTCGACAGGTTTAACCGCCTGCATGGTGTCTCTCCATGTACTTTATAACAGTTGATCTTCAGTACTGATTTATAAATACACGAAAACAAAATTATTTATTAATTGTCTCGTCTCCCCCTCCAACCTTTTCCCGGTCAGACTTCAAATCATACTCCTCGAAAGACGCTTACACAAGTTCCGGTACTCGACTAGTTATAATTTAAATTAAAAAAGAAAAAATAAAGAAATAAAAATAACCAAATATACATAAATTATATTCAAGCATAAGAGCCCAGTTTTGCAGTTACCTGCCAAACGATTTGAATTTCTATCAGATTTTTTGAAGCTGCTCCTTTCCGAGTCAAAAATGAGATTGCGTCGGCTTGAACTCTCATCCAAAGCCTCCAAATCTCGTCTGCAGATCCATGGCTGTTCTACGCATACTGTTTGCTTCTTGAACCAATCAAACGTGAGCATTTCTCTGATTCCATGGTATGGAAAAAACGAAATTGAGAGTTCATGATTGTCGGGATACAAGAAATCTGCGCCTGTACAGGATAGAATACAATACACGAGGCCAGTATTGGTTTTTAATTCCACGACCTAGCTACCCAAAGTAATTTATTGGTACCGAAACCGCATTTAGAAAATCAACTTTCAATTTGGGTTCTGTACAGAAAATCAATTAATCAAATAGGCACCTCAAATGGGATCTTTAGATCCAATGGTGATCACTCAGGCAGTACTAATTTCAATAATTTATGTCATTTATAGTGGTTTTTTGTAAATTTTCTGCTCGAAAACAATTTATTAATACTAAAAGAATTTTCTTAGGACGTTCATTACAATTTTTTTAATATCTTTTTGACCTACAGTGCACCTTATTTTTTTTCAGCTGCACAAAATAACATTTGTGGAAACTTCTAGCTTTGAGGGGAGTGCTCACAAAGAGGGCTACTTTTGTGGTGACGAAAAAAAATCAGGAGTTTTGGGCGTCTTCGGGTGTGTTATTGTATTTTTGAGTGTTTTTTTTTGTTTTCCATACAAAACCAGGTACCAAAAAGAATCTCGGAGTGCAGTAGTGATATATCATACTAAAGCTCTTGCAATCATGATTCAAACGCCCTGAAACTTTTCAATAACTTTCGAAGATAGATTATAGTTTAATTTCGAGCAAGTGAAGCGAGCAAGTAGGTCTTGTAAAAGAAAAATTTTCATTGTTTTAGTGAAAAATTTACTTTTAATAAACAAGGAAAAACAAGTTTCGGAACCTTTATTTAGCGCTGGTAACAAAATTAATCGAAAAATAAAATAATTTATTCCGCAAAAAAAACTTGATATTTTTTCTGAATGATTTTTCTAGCTGCTTTTTGTCATTTGTTTTTTTTTGAGATTAATTGTTTTCGGTTATGCACAATTCCTTAGCGTTCTACTCGTTTGCAAAACTCTTGCATCACACCACGCGCAAAAAAAAACAGAAATTTTTTCAAAAATAACTATTTTTTTTCTGAATGTGGTCCCAACATTCTCTGCTACTTGCACAGGAACCAGCCACCTTTGTTTCGACTGACCTTGTTTTATTTGACATTTTGAGAACACTAATTAAAAAATTGACAAAGAGTGTTTATATTACGACAAACAGAGCTTCAGAAAACCCTTCAGAGTCCAAAAATCAAGTTTTTGAAAAGTTCTCCTCCCTTGCCAGTACGAGAGAATATGATCAACGCATTTCTGTACTTTTGAATTTCAGCAGAAACTGATTTACTACAAAAGTTTGGATCCTTTGATTGCTTATGCATGTAGTTTGTCGGGTAATTTAACAGTTTGAATAAAATTTCCTTAACAATTTTTATTGAACCAATTAACACTCAATGATGATTTCTGAAGAAAATTTAGGTGCCGTCTCCCGTCCTACATCGATTTGAGGGTCAAACGAACGATTAATCTGAATTTTTTTATTGAACCAATTAACACTCAATGATGATTTCTGAAGAAAATTTGGGTGCCGTCTCCCGTCCTACATCGATTTGAGGGTCAAACGAACGATTAATCTGAATTTTTTACAGACGGCGCCATTTTTGACAATTTTTCTGAATTGTTGTTATGATCACTGTAAATGGCGAGGAACGTTGTATTTGGTTATTTTTTCTATTTTGTTTTCCAAGCAAATCAATTACCACAAATAGCCATTGCAATGGATCGAGCAATATACCATATTAGAGTCCTTTAAGGCGTAATTCGAACGAAATTAAATCTTTAACAAAAATCCCGTTTCGATTAAAACCGGTTTGAAATTTTCAAAAGTCTAATTTCAAGCAAGTGAAGCAATTGAGTAACGTTCATATAAAAATTGGTCGATTAGGCTTAAAAAACTTGCTTCTACTAAACAAAAACATGAAAATTTGAAAACTTGAAAAATTGAAAGTTTTTTCTGAAATTTTTTTCCCATTTTTTGTTTATCGCTTGTTTTTTGAGAATACCTGTTTTCCATTATGCCCAATTTTCTAACGTTCTATTCGTTTGTATAATTTTTGCATCACACCACGCACACAAAAAAACGACACAAAAATTTTAAAAAATTGCAAATTTTTTATGATTGTGGTCTTAAGATTCTGTGCTACTTGCACATGAGCCAGCCACTCCTGTTGTTATTGCCCTTGTTTTAAATGACATTTTATAAACAATAACTAAAAAGGTAACCAGAGGGTCACTAAGTTACGACAAACACAGCTTTAGAAAAACCTTCCAAAAAATAATTTTTTTAAAAGTCTCCTTCTCAAGTCAGTTTGAGCGAATATAAAAAACGCGCTTCTGTTGTTTTAAACTTTTAAAGTAGAATAACCAAACGAACAGGCGTACAAATTTTTAAATCATTTGATTGCTTAAGCATGTTGTTTATCGAATAATTTAACAGTAACAGTTTGATAAACTTTAATTTGAAAATTTTTTATTGAACCAATTATTACTGAAAATTAACTTTTGAATAAAGTGTATGTGCCTCCTGTCCTAAATCGATTTGAGGGTATATTGCACAAATAGTCTAATTGTTTGTTAAAACGGCACCAACCTAAGTGTTTTAGACAAGTGTTTTTCAAGTTTAGTTTTTTTTTCATTAATTTTGTTTTCCACGTACCATCAGGTACCACAAAACACCATTGGAGTGAGTCGAGCGATATACTATATCAAAAACTTTCAGTCGTGATTCGAGCAATATTACAACTCCCAAAAAAACTGTCGATTAAAACTGGTTTTAAATTTTTTAGTTATAGTGTAATTTCGGGCGACTAAAGCAATCGAGTAACGTTCTTTATTTGAAAATTGGTCCTTTAGGCTAGAAAAACATGCTTTTACCAAACAAAAACTTTTGAAAGCTCGATTTGGAGCTTTTTTGGGAATAAAAAGTTTCTATATACATGCACAGCAACCGACCATCCTTGTTTAAATCTTCACTTTATATTTTTTTAATCTTTGCAGGTTCCACCATCTGGAAGCAAAGACGTTTTAATTAGACAACACATTAGAGTTTTTTTATTTTGCTCGCTTTCTACAAAAAACATGAATGTTAATGTCGGCAGCTAATAATAGTTCTGAGAAAAACATGAACGATGAAAATTTCTCAGAAAAAAACCTTAAAAGGGCACCTTGCTAATTTTTGAAAAAAACTATAACTCTTTTCGGATGCGCACAAAATAACCCTTCCTGAAAGCAGTATGTTTGGCCATAATCGGTCCACAATCAGTGTAATGAAGTTCCATTTAGTACTAAATAGAACTCCAATAAAGTTCTACAATTTGTGTGGAATGCTGATGTTTTTCTCTGGAAAAACATTTATATAAATTTTGAAGTTAATTCGATCAATATCGATGTCACATAAAAATAGATGTCACAAAACTTATGTTAAAATTTTTCAGAAAAAAAAGAAAAAACCGTTGTCATCATCCAATTTATAGGGAAAAAACTTTCGTCAAAAATTTTTAAAAATAGAAAAAAGTAGTTTGTTGGGTAACAACTAACAACATTTAAATAATTTTGCTATTTGTGGCCTGATATTGTATTCTATTTGAGGCTGCTACCTGGTCTGACCCCGACTGACCTCAAGCGTCCAGTTCCAAAGCCCATTCTTGAAATCACATTCGCACAAACTGAGTCGTCATATTGGCCCTAAATTGTTGTCTATCTGATTTTTCTGAGAAATAATATTGAACCTATAACTTTTCGTTTAAATGAACCTATATTTTTTTCGTTTAAATGAACCTATATTTTTTCGTTCAAAAAAGTATAAAAGCTGGAAAAAACATCTCAGAAGAGAAAAATGTTTTTTTGTTGTTGCTGGTGTATTCACATAACTTCTGACTAACATGTTCACACCTCGAAAAAAACTGAAAAAAAAACTGAAGGGAAAACCCATAATATCAAGTTTGGATGTTTCATTTTAACTGGCTAATAAATTTGCAGGTTTTTTACAGTTTCAATGCCTTTTCATGTTGTCTACACTCTTTCTTCTCCTTTTTTTTCTGATAAACTGGCAAATAAAACTAACCATAATGAAGTTGAGGGACTTATTTGCGCTTGAGAAGTCCAAAATATGTTCGAAGTATTCCCGAGGACTCATTCCTATTCTCTGCCCGTGATCAATGTACACTTTACTCTGGAATCGGCAGCAGAAGCCTGCAAGAAAAAAAACTAATTTGGACGTAGTAAGTTAGAGTGAGTTTCGTAACTGTTACATAGCTGTTAGATAACTATCATTCAAATCTTACATATTTTTGGCTGGCTTATATGGCAGCTGTTTTATACTTTGGTTGGTTTAATTACCACCAGGGGCGGATCGAAGTTTTTCTCAAAGGGGCGGGGGGAGTTCGGATTTTCAAAAAAAAAATGTCAAAAATTTCATTTACCTTTTTTTTTAGGTCGACCAAATTGAATTTTTGAGCTCTCCCAAATCACTCTAAAGATCCCATTTTGACCAAAGTTTTTGCGCCGCAGGCAAACTTTTAAAAAACAGTCCAAAAACGCATTTTTAGACGCTTTTTTAAATTTTTGAGAAAAAATAAATGCATTTTTCGGCGCGCGCTCCCCTTCCAAATTAAAATATATCGTTGGCGCCAAAGGCGCCTTTAGAAAATTTTAGTTTCAGTCAGCGAAAATTTGATGCTCTGAAAAATTATCAAAGGGGGAACCCTTTGGCTCGGCATTGGGTCGAACCCCTGAGAGGGGAGGGGGCGTCCGGAATGACCCCCCCCCCCTAAAGGCGCCCCTGGTTACCACAAAAGTGATAGTTAGCTTAACTAGAACTAGATAAGTAAGACTTAGAGCCCAATGCTTGCTCCAGCTTCCGGTACTTACTTTGAAACTGAAACAAATTTAGGGTTTTCTAAGAGAAAATTGGTTCTTAGGTCGAAACATCTTTGAGCGTCTCACTTTAAGTTATATTGTATAGATATTGCCAAAATCTTGGCAATATCAGTAACCTACAGAAATGTGGCCGAAAACTATAGCATTTTAGGTTAATTAGATTTTTGAACATTGTTTTTAGTGAGAAAATCATTAAAAACGGAAAAATATCCGACGTCAAAGAGCAATTTGAAATTCATTAATTTCGTTCAAATTCGATGACTGAAAAGCCATTGCCAACATTTTGACATTATCAATAATTCAGATCTAAATGCAGGTATAATTGTTCCGACTGTCGAAAAAAAAATAATTGAATGTGTGCTCGGGGTGGTTTTTTTTCTACAGTCAAATTTCGACTTTTTAAGTAGCCATTTTTGACGGAAATTTTTTATTACAATTAGAAACTTATTGTTATCTTGACCTCAAATTTGAAAATCTATTTGAGCTGTAATCGAGTATCGAAAGGTTTTGAAGGTTTAAAGTTTCCCAAATAGCCAAATTGGGACAATTAACGCACGAGGAATTTGTTTCAAGCAGACTATTTGCCATAATTGCTAGGTTAACTGGAGGAAAATTTATCATTATGTATTTTAAATGGCGATTTTGTGCAAACTTTCTTTTTTTGCAAACATTTTTTACAAACTTTCTCTTTTTTAAAACAAACATTCTATTTTTCTTAAAACAAACTCCATAGCACTATAAGAGAAGTCTTGTTCTTTAGCTTTTCGAACAAAATCAATGAAATATTTCTGCTCGGGTGGTTTTTCTCCAGATTTTTCAACTTGTCATTTTTGACAAATTTCTTTATATCATCCGAAACTTATTGTTGCATTGAGATCTTTCTAAAAATTTTGCGCTATTAACGCGCACGCATGTTTAGTAGAATATTTGAATTTTTGCTTAAAGCAAATTAATTTTTTGCACTTAATATAGCGAGTGCGGGGATGATTTTTTCTTTGAAAACTGAGGGGGGATAATTTGTTTCTTTGAACACTTTATCATTTTCGCACAGCGAACACAAATTCATTGAACTTGAAAGGTAGTCGAAACAATCAAGGCTTCACCTAGATACGAGCAGTCTTGTTATTTTCAAAGTTAATGCCAAACTGTTGGCAGTAACCTTTTCGGAAACGATTAGAACGAAGTGGAACCTGATCTAGACTACATTTTATGATTGGATAATTTAGATATTTTACCAATGTAAAGTATTTAATATTAACCAATCATGATCCATCTAACTAACAACCCACTTATTTGTAAGTGCTGAAGTTACTTGTAATTTCAGCACCAGAGAGATTTGAATTTAACTTAGAAATTAGTTGGACTCTCCCGAGCACTTCAGCAACCGCAATAAACCAGTATACCCTAGATCTATTGAGCCTAGCAGAGACTAGTTAAACAACCTGAGACTAGATAGTATAAGAGTAAGATTAGGATCGGTATTATACTAAGAAGTTGCACGAATCTATCCGGCCGAAAATAAGATAGCGTGACGAGCAGACGGTGTACCCTATCCGAAATTACTCTATGAGTTAACCAACTCGGTCCTAACTCATCTGGTGCGACCATAAGTCTCGAACAAGACCTTAATAGCTTAGAATTAACCAAAATAGATTAGAAATTAGACAAAAACATTTACAAAATGTTATACGACAATAATTTAATCGAAATGTCTCTACGACTCAATAGATCAGAGCCAATATTCCGAACCATAACAGAACTACCCGGAATAGGAAGAAGACCTCGAACCAGAGACGACATACGACAAAGTAGAAACTTGCCATATAGCTATATGATAGTTAGGCAAAAACCAGAACAAACTTTTATATTTAGAATACTACTAGCAATGAATTTAGATTTTCATTTGCAAACATAAAACCTTGAAGTTAATCTTCAATATCATTTCAGGCGCTAAACAAAATTATTAATATACAATAACGATTGATAAAAAGATCTAAGATCGTTTTCCTAAAACTCTGCAGTAATATACAAAACATGTTTGAAAAATATTTATTGAAAAATAAAAATAAAAATTAGTAGCATGACAATAAATGGTTAGTAATCATAAATCATCCTGTTGTTCCAGCTCCATCACCTAAAACATAACAGCAATCATAAACCCACTAATATCATCAAAACACTAAATCTTTCCTTTACACACATTTAAAATTTTATTAAAACTTAAATTCACTTAATTTTAAAACCAGATCATCAAGGCTTATCCTTGGATCTTAAATCATTTTCTACTTAATTAAATTTCAAAATTGATCATCAAGGCTTATCCTTGGATCAAACAGAACAACTTTGTTCTCCCCCACCCACTTAATTAGTGTCTAACGACCTCAAACGTCGATTCACTACCCAACCCTTTCTAAAGACCTAAGACTAATAGAAATTTTTAAACAAAACTAATCATTCAAATTAGGATAAACAGTGAAGAACTTCGGTTATTCATCCTTCACTTGACCCCCCCTCTTACCAGACCCAGGATAAATCTTAGACTTAGTAAGTTTAAAATAGTATCTAACGAACTACTCGCGTTCTAATTATACCTGAACCTTGTGGATCGATTTACTATTCTCCAACCCTTGAACACAATCACTACCCCTAAGTAAGATTAAGTAAGTTAACACCTTAACTTATACTAGCCACGAGAAAGTAAAAAATCATTCTTCGGAATCGATATACTTTTCTCTCCAACCCTGAACAAACAGACCCAGGTTAAGCTAACCAAAAAATCGTAAGAACTAACAGTTTAAGAAAATAGAAACCATTTAACAACCTTTTGCATCCGTCATCCTAAACCTTATGTCATTTAAAAACCTAGGAAATAAACAAACAATCGTTTTACACAATTGTGAAATAGATAACAAAAAATACGACCTTGTAATCACACCTCATACACAAACAGTTGGATACATTCGAACAAAACGACAAACACTAAAAAGAAAAATAATAACGAAACAAAGACAAATAACACGAAAAAGATTTTCAAAAAATCGAAACGCATTTTCAGAATCAGAAACCAACAGTTTAGACGAACTTTACAAACTAAAAGAATCAATAGATAAAAATTGCCCACTTCACGATCAATTATATTTTTCTGACTCAGAAACAACTTCAAATTCATCAAAAAGAGGAAAAAGAAGAATAAAAAAGCAGTATAAACACAAACCAGTACATTTATACAATTGGAATCAACCAATTCGACACATTAATAATTACATATTAACAGTCATCGAACGAAAAAATGAGCTCAACGCACACCCCAGGTGAAGAAAGTCCAGATGATGATGAAATCTTTCCTTTTATAGTAGATGCAACCACTGATAGAGGACAGCATATATTTTGCAAAAATTTACTATTAAATTTATTTGAACCCGGAATCAGTCCATGTAAAACAGAGTTCCCAGATATAAAAATCAAAAGACAAATCATAGACCACTACTTAAAAGATATATGCAACATAACACAACAGTATGGAATCTACTCCATAGAATTCACCTCACCAAACCATAATAATAGAAAATATACAATCCAAACAGACGATCTTGATTTAGAATTTTCAAAAGTTTTTTCAGAATATATAAAAAGCATCCAATATCATAACTCACAAAGAGCAAACTCCATATTCACCAATGAAGTTTTCGCAATAATATATAGTTATATTTCGATATTAGAAAACGAAATCCCAATAACAAATGTCTCACCGACAGAAACATCTAAACATTTGAAAGTACGACATGAAATCACACTACTCTCTAGTTATTTAAACATCATTAAAGAAAATTTCACGAAAGACGACGTTTCACAACATACAAAACACGATCTACAAAAAATTTTGGCATGGTTCATAATAGATTATTTCACACACAATATTGATTTAATTGCACAAGCAAGAAAAAATTTTAGACCCCAAAACTCGAACGATGATACCGCTATCACAGAACAATCAGATTATGTTTGGGACCCCGAATGGTCTCATCCCGCATTTATAAGCTTCCCACAATCAATCTCAAGTCAAGCAATAAGTACGATATCTTATTAAACTATAAGATAAACATTAAACTATAATACATTTTTGCCCGATACACAAAATAATAGTTTAAACTCTACAGTTATACACAATGAAAACCTCAATGGAACTAGGAATCTTACTCAACAAGATATCCAGACACCATCACACTTCATAAATGAAGAAATTGTACACACAACAACTACACAACAAAGTATTTCACCAATACGCCCAAATTTAACAACACCAAGAAATACAA